CTTTTTAAGTATATTTATGTTGACTCCACGTCTCCTTACCTAACTTACATTGAATTTTCTAGAAATTTCTGCAATTTTTAACTTTGTTGATATGCTTTCCCTTTGATGACCCATTTAGTCTGGCTCAAATGCTCTTCATCTTAAAAAAAATTATTTATATATTGTTCGATACAATTACAAACTTAAGCCCATTCATTATTTTTATTAATGTTTATTGTCTGCTGGTAGATAATAACCTGCCTTTTTTTTAATCTCTTTACATTACTTTGTGCTTCATATCAGAGCTACGGAGGGAATAACTTGCCAGTCCATTTAAAGCGTCTCGGATACAGCTTTATACTCGGCATTTTGGTAAGTTTGTATCTATTCCTATTATATATTCACCGTTATTATCAATTATTCTACTGACTAAGGGTTTATCTTTCGATTTTAATGTGTCTGTGCTTGGTTATATCGTAAAAATCATGTAGTCCACTCAGCCAAATTCTTTTATTTTTCATTGAACGAACAAAGTTAGGGCTTCATAATGTCTTTAAAAAAATCATATTGTATTACTTTGGTGGACAGATAGGTATGCTATGTACTTTCAGCATATGATCTGCACATACTTTCATTAATAACTAATTTTATCAATCGGTAGCTAAAGTTTTGTCCATGCGATTAATTTTCTTTCTTTGACTTAGGAATTGTTTGCTGCTTCACCAACTCTTGGCTTCATAGTGGTAGGCATGCCAATCCTTGTAGTCAGCTTCATATTCTATCTGCTTTGTTGCATGGATGCTGTTCCTGACGATCTTCTGACAGAACGTGACCACCACTTTCAAGCGCAGCAGCAACGTCGTCGAGCAGTGGGTCAACAGGATGGTCAAGAGCCAGGTCCCCGTGTACAAATTATGAAGAGGAATGAAGCCAGTTCAAAAGCCAGTGGCAACATTTCGGCTGCCACTTGTGCAAATTCAGATAATGGAAGCGAAACTAGTCTATTTTCACAAGTTCAAGAGGTTAGAATGCGTAGAGTGCCCCCAAAGAGGACTGAGGATGAAGCACTTCGCGCACGCCAGGCAACTTGGCGATATGCATTGCATGAGTTGGGTGAGTCTTGCTTAGTTTCTATTTTATTTACTCCACTCTATTTATAAGTAACTTCATCTCATAATCATGTTTCACCAAATTGAATTGATAATAACTCGGTGTTTATACTGTTTGTATAATAAATTAGTTGGGCCTATAATGAATTATTCTGCGTGATCTGATTCAAGGTG